GTAATAGCTAATCTATTAAAACATATGAAAACATATTTATTATGTTGAATCACATAAAATTGCTATTCTTAGTAGGATAAAACATGATCAAACTTTGATGATTTTGTTTTACTCAACATATAATATACGAGTTAGGAGATTCTCTACATCCCTGCTGCCTGGTTTAGTCAAAATGAAATTGTGTGATGATGAAAACTGCGTTAGCCCTCTGTGGATAATCCAAGCTCAGTGCCAATTCTTTTCTCTCTTGATTTAATCTCTGATTTCAGGCTATTTAACTGTGCAATAAGTCTATCTTACAGTGGCTATGAATGGAAGAGGAAAAAAAATGTTTACTAATTTAGTTACTTAAAATAGAAGTTCAGTAGTTTTTTAAAAATCAAGAAATTAGAGTGAAAGAATGGTTAAGACTATGAATTAAACCACTATTGGGGAATTATCGTGATTCATTTACATGCACTACTCTGTTTCCAATCAACATACATAACAGATATTTGAGTAGATTATAAAGTATGTTTCCAGATGAGATCCAGATGATATTAAATTTTTTAGCATATCTGCAGATTTTCAGCCAAAGAGAGAAAGTAGTTTACTACAGGGCAAGTCCTGGCTCCGAGTCAGTTCTCATGGTAGTTCTGTCCCTGGCAGTCCATGTGACATGAACAAGTTCCCTAACCTCTCTGGAAGCGTTTAATTTTCTCATTTAACTGACAACTCATAGTGCACATATAAATTCACAATTCCATAGCAACCCTGTGGTTCCCAGGAGCCCACCCCAACGATTGGGAAGCAGTGAATTAGAAAAGCTCTTTTAACCCTTCTTGGTCTCACATTCTAATTCCTATTAATTTAAGAGGAGTTAGCAGCAATTGAGGAAAAGCAAACACACTGGAAATTTGAAAACACGGAAGTGAGACTAACCACTTGAGCTGATAATTATGTATGAGTTCTTTCTGTTTGACTGGTGGCCAGAAACCAGAGACAGTGGAATTGATGAGCCAGAATGTCCTGCTGCTGCTGGCTGCAGCTTGAAAGGAAATAATCCAGATAATTGTTTAATTGGATGCTATTTAAAAAGAAAAGCTGGAACTCCCAAGAATCATGATCCAGAGTAAACATCTTTTCAACCATATTGGTTAAATAAAAACCAAAGGATGCTGCATTGATGGCTAGCATCCATGAGGTTCCATTTTCACTTCCATTTTCACTATCCCTTTTTAACCATTTCCTGTCAGTTCTTGTTAGAGGCTCTGTCAGTTTTACTTTTCAATGTTAAGTATTCCTGGATGATAACCTTCCAACATTATACTTACATTAATAATAACAATGGAAAATGAGTGAAATCTTAGGTACAGATCTAGTAACAAGAGGGTAAAAATCAAGTGCTTCAAATGAGAGGCAGTATGTACAACAGTTATGACACAGACTTTGATGAGTCAGCCTGGGTTTGAGTCATCTTATATCTTTTATCTTATATAGTTGATAAAATCCATAGCACATGTTCAGTTAACTGAGCTTTCTCTGACTCAGTTTCTGCACTTGCAATTTGGAGTTAGCCAATATTGGATTGTAGTAAGCATTATACACACACACACTGAAGAATTATACTAGTTAATCTGTGTAAAGCTCATATAACCAGTCCCTGACACATTGCAGGCGGCATGACTGTAATTTTTGTTGTTGTTTAGTCACTAAGTTGTGTCCGACTCTTTTGCAACCCCATGGACTGTAACACACCAGGCTCCTCTGTCTGGGATTCCCAGGCAAGAACACTGGAGTGGGTTACCATTTCCTCATCCTGAGGATCTTTCCAACCCAGGGATCGAACCCACGTCTCCGGCACTGCAGGCAGATTCTTCACCACTGAGTCACCTGGGAAGCCCATGACTGTAATAGTAATTTGTTATTGTTACTGTTTCCTTCATAGAAGTTTCACATAAAAGTGACTATTTTTGTATTACCTAATAGAGTCATGGCTCTTTGAAACTGGTGCTTTAACTGAATTATCATAGCATGGTAAAATCTATCAATTTTATGAGGTGGCTCAGAAGAACAAACCACAAGCAATAGTTTTGCTTCCACAAACTGTCTATATCTCATCTATATCTAGATAAGGCATTGAATGTAATTTTGGAGGTGGAATAACCAATTAGTGTATTTTGATCCCCTTTTCCTTTTCTTTATTCCATCCTCTTGACTTTATTTTTAGAGCTCCTTCTCTGAGCTGTATGCATTCATATTTAATGACTGCCATTTTTATTCTTTTTGTAGTATTAAATATTAAATATCAGGCAGAATACTTCCTTTAATTTCTCTTTGGAGTAATAAAATATTATCAGTAACTTTCTCTTGAGATCTGTAGCAATACTCTTTGTCAAAACAGAAGTAATTAATAAAACCAGGAAAGCATCTATGAAAAGCTCTTAGAAAGAGTATTATTATTTATTGGGTAAATAAAATATATCAAATAAACTAAACATCTAAGACATGAATTGGTATAGATTTGGTCTCAGGAAGCTCTGAGACATTCTGCTCTCAGGAAGTTCTGTAGAACTCTGAAGCTCTACAACAGACATTATGATAAATTCTAATTACCAAAGAGTTTTAATGATTAATTTAATGACTTTATTCACAGTGATATTGTTAGCATGAGTAAGAATGACTCCTTTGAACGGACTGTGGTTGACAAGGATAAGGGGTATAGGGGAGGGATGAACGGGGAGTTCAGAATTAGCCATGCAACAATTTTATATAGAGTGGATAGACAACAAGGTCCTACTGTATAGCACAGGGAACTGTATTCAGTACCCTGTGATAAACCATAATGGAAAATATGAAAAAGAATATATGTATGTGTGTGTGTGTGACTACATCACTTGACTGTACAACTGAAATTGACACAACATTGTAAATCAACAATTCTTCAATAAAATGAATTTTAAAAACAAAATAACTCCTTTGTGAATTTTGTAATAGGTGAGACTTGTGATTACTCATCAAACACTTATTTCAAAATCTCAGATTTTGTCACATAAAAATATGCCTCTGCATTAATATTTAATTTACAGTATCAGTTTACATACTTAGACCAATGAAGTAACAGTAAATATGAATTCCTATGTAATCAACTGTCTTCACAAAAATAAGATTTCAGATGTCTCTTGGGGAAAGTGCAGCAATGACATTAAAAATACTAACATGAGACAAGTGCTCCGGGCTGGTGCACTGGGATGACCCAGAGGGATGGGATGGGGAGGCAGGTGGGAGGGGGGTTCAGGATGGGGAACACATGTAAATCCATGGCTGATTCATGTTAATGTATGGCAAAAACCACTACAATATTGTAAAGCAATTAGCCTCCAACTAATAAAAATAAATGGAAAAAAAATACTAACCTATCAATCATAGGCTCAGACCAATAGGATGGATGCTGGCCTTAGAGCTGCAGTAACCCTGTTTCACCAAGACTTCACCCTCTCATCCTGGATAACAGGAAGGTGGGGGAGCCTTGTGAAATAAGCAGAAAAGGACGAGCTTGAGAGAATTGGAATCCCAACCATTTACCAATCTGTATCAGACAGGGAAGCCTAGTATGCTGCAGTCTATGGGATTGCAAAGAGCTGGACAAGACTGAGTGACTGAACAATGGTCATACAGTGTATACTAAGAAGTGTATATATTCATAGCATCCTTGTGAAGCACACATATGAAAAGCCAGGAGTGATGAGGAAATACCTTTATTACCAAAAAAGAGCTTCAAAAAATAGTCAATATCTATTCTTCATGAAAGTTGTTATATTTCTATTGACAAAAGAAATTGTATTTTAACTCAAATTTGCTTAAAGTTTCTCAAACTCAAGAAGACAAAAACAAATTGACTTAAAATTTGTTTAAAATTCCATTGTTCTTATGTTTGACTATATAATATTTGCAGTTTCTTTCTGTTGTAGTTTAATAATTATTTAGGATTTCTCTCATGCTCATTTAACCATTTAGATTTCAGGAAATGCTCCAAGATATTCTAAACAGTAGTATAGATAATTTTTAATTTATACTTTGGAGATAACAAGTCAAGTTCTTTAGAATCTGCAATTTAATAAATTTTAAGAAACTTTTATTTTCTAAAATTTAAAAAAATGTATATTTTCTATTCATAGGGTAAAAATCTAAAGACGAGTTCATTATATTCATTTTATCAAAATATAACCTGTTCCAAATAGAAAGTTGTAAAAAGGAAACTCCAAATTTTAGTTTAGAAATTTGTATTTTGTTCAATTGTTAAGAGAATTCTAGGATGGTTCATATTATTCCATTTCTTTTCTCTATTTTATTTATTCCTTTACATTAAAATTATTTTCAGAATATTTTTTCTTTTTCATCTTTCTTCTTATAATTCAAAATAATATCTTTGAACAAAGATCACTCTGAAAGCAGAGGCTCTATTACATTATGGACAATTCTCTGGCAGATTGCATTTTCACTGCCCACATTTCAGATTCACTTTGAATATCAATATTAAATACCAATTTAAGTATTTTCTTTAAAACTTTATTTAATAATTGTTACAGTTTCAACAAATGTTCTTTGAACTCCACCTGCATATAATTACATAAGNGTATTCTTGCCTGGAGAATCCTGTGGACTGAGGAGCCTGGGGGGGTTACAGTCCATGGGATCGCAAAGAGTCGGACACGACTGAGCGACTTCAGCTCAGCTCTGCTCAGCAAGTAAGGTTATTTATAATATTTTGTTGTAATTATTTGTATTATAATCAGTGCCTTATTTTTCTTTAGGAAAAATCTTGAAAGAGATACTATCATACCTTTTTGTAATTGCTTTTCAAAGAAAGCTCAAGTTGCTTCTTTTTTCATCTTCCTTTTGGGGACTATGCCTTAGGATAAGTACTTGGCAAAGGGTAGATGTTTAATACAGCAGATCATGTGCACTCCCCACTGTTTATATTATTACTCTAATGTTCTTTACTGTCTTGTTCCTTTCAGGACTGTTCTTTTTACTCTGACGTCTGTGGTTGTACTTGTCATTACAACTGACTGGATCAGCTGGGACAAGCTGAATCGGGGATTTTTGCCCAGTGATGAAGTTTCCAGAGCCTTTCTGGCTTCTTTCATCTTGGTCTTTGACCTCCTTATTGTAATGCAGGTGAGTGTCTTTGTATTTTCTTCCTCTCCTGAAGCCACCCCAAGCATTGTTCTCTGTATTATAAACATTATTCAGTGAAAGGCTCCATAAAGCTAGAGAAATGCATAGTTTACAGTTGCTATTAATGGAGCCTTCTCTGATCATATTTTCAGCACTTTTACTGGGAGTATAAGCCAAATGAGCTTTTATGAGAGGGGCACCAAAAAGTCATTGTATGACCATTGCAAGGTGGCCCTGGAAACCACACAGAATGGTTTTGTTTTTTTGCCAAAGCTTCAGGGGAAAAAAAAAAAAATCACTGTCATTTAGTAAATGGAAAGCTGCAGAGATGAGGATGATATAAAACCAACGAAGCCAGGATAAGCAACTGCCAAAGCAACTCAGGATTTTAGAGCAGTTGAAATGGAATAATATAAAAATGCTTTTTCTGGTTATGGAAATTATCACTGTCTTTCAGTATTCACTGGAGAGCATTCCATTTTTGTGTAAACAATATTTCTGCCCTGCTTAGCAACAGATTGTTTGTACAGTGGTTTTGTGCTAACCACTGCTACTCATGTAATCTTCTGGTGTGAGTGCTTTGGGGTCTTAGAGATGTTCCTTTGAGTCAAGCAGAAAGAGACATTAACTATTACTTGGCACTTTGTCTTGTTCATTAAATGTCCATCCACTTGCTAGACATTTTCTTACTGCTTTCATAAGGCATTTTTGTGTTTTCCTCTCCAGAGGCATCGTAAGTCACCAGAACAAAGGCTCCATTGCTGAAGGGGAAATAAACTTCATTATGTTCAGAATTTATGTAAGATTTCACAGGATACTAGACTGGTTTTTCTCATTTCTAGAGGCAAAGAGATGCCTTTATAAAAGATATTCTTTAGTGTTTTGAAAGAGAATAACAATCTCTTTTGCTTTGTGGTTATTGTTGTTGTTTTTGAGGGGGGTTAGGTTTTTGTTTCTTTGTTTTGGTATATAACATAGCCCAGACATGAGACTCAAGATGGTTCTTAGGATATATTAAAATTTTGTGCTGTGCTTAGTCACTCCGACTCTTTACAACCCCACGGTCTGTACCCGACTCTTTGCAGCCTCATCGTCTGTACCCCACCAGCCTCCTACATCCGTGGTGATATTCTGGGCAAGAATACTGGAGTGGGTTGCCATGCCCTCCTCCAGGGGATCTTCCCAACCCAAGGATAGAACCTAGGTCTCTTGCATTGCAGGAGTATTATTTACTGTCTGGGCCACCAGGAAATAGTATTATTTTAATGGATGAAAACTTAAAATACATTATTGTTTTTAAAAATTAAATTAAATTGAATTATTTTCTCATCTAAAAATTAACATACATATTTTTAATTTCCTGTGTGATAGTTTAGCATAGTGAAAAAAGCCCTAGGGAAGCCCTGGCAAGGTTCCCTGTCTCTCACTTGCTCTTGGACCTCCTCTGGATATTTATAATACTGAGTTTATAGCACTTACACAGTAGTGTGTTATGCATTAGTTGTTTAAAGACTATTTTTATTTTCTTTCATCTAATACTCCTCTTACTGAGTATACTATCATTTGTGAAATATCTACTTTGCCCAAGTGGCCTACTGGTACCTCTTGAACCCATCTTAGTGTCAGAAGTATCCGTAGCCAAGTAGACCATTATCTTTTCATTTGTATATGTTATGAGCATAAATGTCTTGATTTTCTACTACCATCCACCACCTTTCACCCTCTTTTGTAGTTTTAATTATTCTTCTAATAGGTTCACTAAAATCAGGGATTGAAGTGGGAAAATGTAATGTTACAATTTGCAGATGTTATGGGTCCCTCAAAGAGTATTTAATAAGAGAGAGATGGAAGGAAAGATAACCAGGATTTATGCATGCAGAGTCAGCAGGATTTGGAAGGGAAAGGCATTCTAGATGCAGGAAATGGCATGAAAGTGTGGAGTCAGTAAATCTAAAGTGTTCAGAGTGGCCAGAACACCTTGACTGAAGATGGAGAATTTCTGTGGAGGAATTTATCAGTCTGGACTGTTTGAGCTACAAGTAACAATAACCCTGCCAAGCCAACTTCATCAAAGGGGAAAGGGGGAAATGTATGGCTGCATGATGAGGCTGTCCTGCAGAATTAAAGAGGAGGTATGCAGCAGCATTTTAGTGGCACATGAAAGCAGAGACTAAAGTGTAACAGGAAGCCCAGACCAAGCTCTTATTCTCCAGCTCTCATCTTTTTTTCTTCACTTCTACTTTCTTATTCTCTTTTGCTGTAAAGCAGCTTTTTCAGCTTCCCAGTTCACATGGAAGAAGATGGCCACAGTCAGCACCTGAGAGAGAGACCGCTCTCTGGCTGTTGGGTCTAACTCTGAATTCCAGGGAAGGAGTAGCAGGGACTGGATTGTCCTGCATCCATCCGTGTCCTGTTGGGAGTGAAGCAGTCCTAAAGAGAATCGGGGAGAAGTTGGGCCTCAAAAACCAGATTAATAAATATCTAATACAAGGAGGAGTCGAAGATGAGGCCCCCGCAGAGGAGATCTGATTAACTTCTTTGCTCTCTGCCTCAACCCTTAGTAAGCCAGCCAGGCGTACTGATTCATCACTTGCTATGTCTTGGCTTCCCAGGTGGCTCAGTGGGTAAAGAATCTGCCTGCAGTGCAAGAGACGCAGGAGCTGAGGGTTCGATCCCTGGGTCAGGAAGATCCCCTGGAGAAGGGCGTGGCAACCCACTCCAGTGTCCTTGCCTGGAGAATCCCATGGGCAGAGGAGCCTGGCAGGCTACAGTCCATGGAGTCTCAGAGAGTTGAACATGACTGAAGCGGCTGAGCATGCGTGCCTCTTGTAGCCTTATCTTTCCTTCTCATCCTCTGCCACCAGTTCAGTCCTGACTCCTCTGTACTATTGTAAACTAATCTCCAGTTGAACCTTCTGCCTCCAGATGTCTCTTTGGCCCATATGCCCTATGCAACTCACCCTCCTAAGCTTCCAGTCTGAAACATCATTCTGTGTATGTCACTTTTCAACCAAAAATATTGACAGTGACTCCCGTTGGCAAAGAATGAAGTCCAGACTCCAGGTGCTCTCTTAGTGCCC